CTAGAGGCTTCATGTGGTGGAACAAGGCACAGGAAAAATTGGCATGTGGCCTAGCTCCAGACTGAAGTCCTCCACCAGACTGCCCACTTTTAAACAGGTGGAGGCCAATATTGTCCCAATTCATAACTCATTCCTTACCCCTTCTGCTCATGAGCCTGGATGCCATAATCTGCTTGTATCTCTTTATTCTTTTTACTCCATTGTGAAGAGAACCTTTATGTGAGCTGTTGTGATTCACAAGTGATCTGGGAGTAGATCACAAAAGATTTAGGTTGGCCACGAAGGACTTCCTAAGCCACATTATGTAAAGATAGCGATTATTTAGCTGCTGACTATGTCACAGGACACCTTTTGTTACCCATGAGAATGTTTTATTTGAGGTAGAGCGTGAAATAATCATGTGAAGACATAAGTGTATGCAAACTACAGTTCGTCAGAAGAAGGAAATTTAGTCATATATTTAGCAGTCATTTCCCCTTTTTTTGGGAAATCTAAACACATTTTCTCCCTCTCTGTGTCTCCATTTCTCTCAGCTTCATACTACGGAAGGAAAGAAAGGTGGATCTAAAATGTCATTTGTTTCTGACACAAATCTGATTGGGCAATGAGGCAAATTTCCGCTGTGCGTTGAGTTAAATCCTATATAAGGTCCTCGTTAGCAATTTTCAGTCTTATACCTTTTCCTGAGAAGCTAACGGCTGAAAAACTGCAGAAGCACAGGTAAGTGAATCTGATGGAAATCTGGGAATGAAAAACCTCCCCTTAACGCTCAGATTGTGTAGGGCTTATGGAGATTGCTGGATAATCAGCCAAAGGAACTGGAAAGCTCTGAACAAAATAATCAAGTATTTTCATCAGGCAAAGGATCTAACAGGAGAGAAACTCCCCTGTTACAGGGCATTACCTGTGAACCATGGGGCTCATTAATGCTGCAGGTGAAGCCACTAACATCTAGTCCAGGTGTAGCTGAGAGGGGCTACAGCTCCATATGAGTGTCCTGGAAACTCTTGCAGATCTAGTGGTTGGGAGGATGACCCCATAATTATGAAACAGTACTATTGAGCAAGAGGTTGGCTTTGTGGACTTGTAGAGATGACAATAAGCTGGACTGTTTGACTGTATATTACAGTCAAACTATCAGATGTCGGATAAACATAGCTACTAGAACATGGAGAAATTTGGATTAAACTGCACTATAAATACGAGCATGATGGGATACACAGAAGATGCCTGAAGGTGAGTACCTCAAAATATGAGTGTGTCATATTGGTAAAATCAGGTTTTTGCCTTTGAATACAATTGGAATAGTTGTCTGGTTATTTAATATTCATCCCATGGAACAATAGCAGTGTTAGGCTAATGTCAAATGCATGCAGTTTGCATTTCTCTATATAAAATGGAAACAGTACATATCATGTACATATGTGTACTACATTACACAGAAATACCTTACATAAACCAGTGCCTGTATATAACATGTTTTATGTATTTTTGCTTGTGGCACACTGAGATAACACATAATCAGTCAACCGAGTAACAACAGCTGAAACCTTGTGGCAAGCCAGAAAGCATTCAGTGATATACACAGAAGCTGCCTTGCCCATGCCAGGCCAATACAGATGACAATTAATGAATGACTGACAGGAGATAGTTTTATTTTCCCTTAGTGTCATCGTATCTGATTTTCAGGACAAGTTGTTCAGGGTTTTCCTTATTTTTTTTAGCACAGATGGTAATAATGTCCGTGCTGAAAAGTTACTTATGCATTGACAGCAAGACGGGTGTCCATGCCATGGGAGTCAAAACTTTTTTGTTGCGAAAGGGACGTTTGCTGGAGACTTTGAAAGCTTGGCTCTGGTTACAGCAAGAAGTTTGCCTGCAGCCTGATCTATGCTGGCTAGCCTGTTTTGCTAGCCACAGTGGGGAAGATAAAGCACCACAGGTTTTAATGAGGTCCATACAATACTGGGAGACACTTGAGGTGACTACTTAAGACAGCTAAAGTGTGTGTGCTACTACACCACAGACAACTTGAAGTCACTCATCCAGACGTCAGTCACAGCTTATTGCAAAATAAGCAGAGTTAGGTTTTTCTGCCCATAGCTGTTGCACTGAAAAGCTGTGGGGACAGCAGCATCTTGTGGTGTGTTGTTTGCATCTCTGGAGTGAAAAGGAAGGGACAGAAGTGATGTGTTTGTGCCAAGCCAGATGTTCTTGTTCCACAAGTCAGCCCCTATAGCTTAGGGATGAAGAAGCCTCTCTGCTCACTAAGATTGAACCAAAGCTCTGTGGGTTTGGAGTGAGGGAGAGAGCAGTTAACTCTTAAGCTAACATTAAGTATTTTCATTGTATATTCTGTCTTGTGACGAATTTCCCTGTAGATTTCAAGACGTTTTTCCTCAATATTCTCCTTTTGATTTCCCCTGGGAAAAAATGTGTGGGCTCTTCTTTATCCTGATGATATGCACAGCGGGCACTTCTGCTTTCAGACTCCAACAAATCCAAAGCACAGGTAAGGGCTTTAATTTTTTCTTCTGTCTCTCTCTCTCCCTTCTTTTTAATGTGTCTGGCTGACAGTAATGTTAAAATATCTCCTTTTTATATAGAAAACTGCTCAGATCACACCGTGTTTTTCAAACACTACTATGAACTGCATGGAGAACCCGTGGTTCTGAAATGTCCTTCCCCCAGATACAAACATTTGGATTTTTCTGCCTTGACCCCTAATATCACATGGTACAAAAACGTTACAAACCGAATGATATCAGGAAGATATGAAGATCCAAGAATCTGGGCAAAAGGAGATGCACTCTGGTTTTTACCAGCAATGCTAGAAGACTCAGGAGTATATATCTGCACCAGAAGGTGGGTATTTGAAAGAAAATCCAGTGCATTAATGAGATGACTATGTCTAAAATACATCAGCTTGATTTTACACTGCAGTTGTGCTCAGAGCATATCTACAGAAGACAACATCTTCAATTTTATTAGAGTAAAAAGTGTGGAAAATTAGAACACTGATATTCATTGTGTGTCTTCTATAGATGCACATATTGAAATCTGGTTAAATTGTGACACAGTATTGCCACACTGGCTATGATCTCACAAGGAAATAATGTGAGAGTTTAGCTTATTTATGAGCCAGTCAGGTCTGTGGTGAGCAGGCACATGCTGCAGGCAGGAGATACTGCAGAACTGAACCCTCCTGTTACAAACCCAGAGAAGAAAATCGTCCTGTTTACACCTCAGATTGCCTTACGAGACATATACCAAGGCTTTGGAGTGGCTTCCTTCTCCCTTCTTCCTTATTCCTTGTGTTTACTTTTCTTCCGCTTCACATTTGAAACCAGACTTCAGTTGCCTTGGTTTTGCTGGAAGATCTGTCATGAGCCAGTATAGGTTGGGGACCGACTTGCTGGAGAGTAGCGTAGGTGAAAGGGACCTGGGGGTTCTGGTGGACAGCAGGATGACCATGAGCCAGCAATGTGCCCTCGTGGCCAAGAAGGCCAATGGCATCCTGAGCTGTATTAGAAGGGGAGTAGCTAGTAGGTCGAGAGAGGTCCTCCTGCCCCTCTACTCTGCCCTGGTGAGGCCACATCTGGAATATTGTGTCCAGTTCTGGGCCCCTCAGCTCAAGAGAGACAGGGAACTGCTTGAGAGAGTCCAGCGCAGAGCCACAAGGATGCTGAAGGGAGTGGAACATCTCCCTTATGAGGAAAGGCTGAAGGAGCTGGGTCTCTTTAGCTTGGAGAAGAGGAGGCTGAGGGGTGACCTCATAAATGTTTATAAATACATAAAGGGTATAAATACATACAGGAGGATGGAGCCAGGCTCTTTTCAGCGACGTCCAATGACAGGACAAGGAGTAATGGGTACAAGCTGGAACATAGGAAGTTGCATAAAAATATTAGAAAAGACTTTTTCACTGTGAGGCTGACGGAGCACTGGAACAGGCTGCCCAGGGAGGTTGTGGAGTCTCCTTTGGAGACATTCCAAATCACCATGGATGAGTAGTTGTGCAATCTACTGTAGGTGATCCTGCTCTGGCGGGGGGGCTGGACTAGATGATCTTTTGAGATCCCTTCCAACCCCTGACATTCTGTGATTCTGTGAGACCGAATGTGTATTTACTAGGCTGAAACCAGACTTGTGACTGGGTTGAGACTTTGTCATCTTTTTCTGAGTATCTGACAGCCTGCTGTACAGTTTCAGAAGAGTTAAGGACAGAGGAAGGCAAAAATGTTTGTCACCATCTGAACTCCAAAAGATGTCCCTGGTCCTTGTAGCCTGATAGCTCCTTCATCCAGCCTCCCAGCACACCCTTGGCAACTGGTGCTGCGGTCTACAGTGGAAAACATACCTCTACCTCCCTTGAGCTGCCTGTGTAGAGCACAGTTTCCTTGCTGGCAAGGCACGCTTCATGAATGATATGTATTCGCAGTAGAAGAGAGGGACAAGAAGAACTCAGGTTAATAAATCATGCTCAGAATCTTCAGTATTCCTTTTCACAGTGATTGATGTGGTGAGGCAGAAGAGGCTTTGATTGTGAGGTCAGAAAAACATAAGGTTGCAAATATTGTCCTAGAGCACAGAGTTGTCTGAGGCCTTCAAATGTGTGTTTTAATCACCTTTTTGAACTATTCTGCCTCAGTTCCTCAATCTATGATGCCGTGGCAGCGTTACTCACTTTTTCAAACCTGCTTGAAAAAGATATAGAAGAGCTGAGCATGTAGCTCAGCTGTAATCCTGTAAATCCTGTAAGGCAGGATTTCAGAGGTTGGAAATGATATAGTTTAAGCACCTATTTCCCCCTCATTTTCTTCTCCTTGGGACTGGAAGACATCGTCGCTTGGGGCCAGAAAGAAAAGCTAAATATTGCAAAATGTTCAAAGCAGAATCTGTGCAAAATAATACAGGCAGAAATGCCTACTCGTTTTGCAATAGTAACCGCAGGTAGGTTTTAATACATGCATTAAGCTTTTTAGTTTATTGTTAGTTCCCAAACATTAGGGTTTTCACAGTCAATACCTCTTTCTAGGAAGCTTCATGATACACCTGCTACTGTTCAGGTGAACATGGTCCCCCTCCTTGTAAAATTAAAATCATACCAGAGCCCAAGGGTGCAGATCAGACTTGGTGTACAAAAAAGAAACAACTGAGGCTCCAAGGCAGCTGTGTGTCAGCAACGTGCTTAGATTGTGCCAAAAGGACAGTACCATTAATTTTCTAGCATCCTTCCTGGTATGATCTCAGTTTTGGCCACTTAGAAACTGCTAAGGAGGAAGTTGGAACCAGGAGGAAAACAAAACTGTCACTTAGGTTTCCCTCATCACTGGTGAGTGCTCACCTCTCCCCTCTCTGCCTGCAGAAACTCCTCCTACTGTGCCGAGGTCTCCATCCACCTCACAGTCGTGGAGAGAACAGCTGCTCGGGAGATTGCCTATCCCCAGGTCCTCTTCACTTTCACCTCTGGAAAGATCGTTTGCCCTGACCTGTGGGATTTTACACCAAACAGGACAAGCCTGGAGCTCAAGTGGTACAAGGTAGCACTTTCACCTCCTCTTTGTGCAAAGCCTAATTCCAACCTGTTTGTAAAGGCACATATACCTCCACTTTCTATATTTCTATTTCTATTTCTATTATTTCTATTTCTATTTCTATTTCTATTTCTATTTCTATTTCTATTTCTATTTCTATTTCTTCTGCTCTTAAAGTCATGAGCACAGCACTATATATGAAGAATTTTGGAGCACGTGTATACATTTTAAGAAAGGTTCCCTGAGGTGGACTCGGCACAAGGTGAAGTGCTGCACACGTTATATGCTTTCAGAGGCAACACAACTATTTTTAAGGCTAAATTACCTATCCTGACTCCAGGGCTTGCCACATCTCTTTGCCTTTGTGCTTCTTTTTATGGCTTCTCTAGTCAATCCCATAAAGTAGCACCTCTCGGTGATGCTTCTCCTGTGTATGGGCTGTTCAGATGGGGTAGCTTTCCTTAATTGACTGGAACAGTATTTGGAGGTACCAAATTCATCACACAAATCTTATAGTGTTGTCTTGCCTAACTTGCCAGTCTGCGATTTTTCAAGCAGATAAGCCTGGTTTTGCCGGCAAAGTCAAACGTCCCTCGCTTGATCATCCTTAGCGGTACAATCTCGCACTAGACAGAATGGGCTGCTTCTTGTGTTTTCATAATACCTTGGTTTAGCTTTTATTTACACTCCCACTATGACTGTCTGCTCTGCCTCATGCAGCTACCCTTCTTACCATAGGATGCGACACTTGGGCCAGCTTCATGCAGCAGTACCTATACTATGACTTGTATCACACCAGCAAGATATCTCTGCTTGCTGAGGGTTTCCCTTCAAAAGCAGTTTATAACCCACTCAATTCTTGAGGCTACTTATTGAGGCTACTTCTCATAATATGGTTCTTGCTACGACTGTCAGAGATATCCTGCCTTAATGGACAAAGAACATCTTCGCCCCTGACAAGGCTCCAGCCCATGTATGAACAGAGTCTTAGTGATCAAGAGCAGGGATTTATCACAAATTATAAGACCGTGTAGGATAAATAACAGTTTTGTGAAAGCCTGTGTGATTACTAGTATTTGTCTTTGAAGAATGCTTTAGACTACTACTCTTATGAGGTCATATATGGAGAGTGATAACATTGTGAAAATCTTTGTGGTTGCTAAAATGGTTTTGTCTTAGAAGGATGTCTGAGGTGATTATTCTTAAGAGGACTGAGTAAAGAGCCTAATAGATCTTTTCCGTCTTAAAATCTGCACTTTATTGAAAAATTATACACACACATTACAGACCTGTATTAAAAGAGTGATTCTTCACACTTCATATAGTGTCCCTGGGCATTTTAAAGGCATACACACATTTGGAGAACTTGCTCTTTGGTGGAAAACTGGAACCACTCGGATTTCCCAGAGACAGGTGAACTTTTAATAACTGAGATAAGGATAAGTAATTTTGTCTGGAAGTTATACGGAGTGTAGCCACATTTATCTGAGCTGTAACACCAGTTGCTGTCCTTTCTCCAGGATGCTCTGCCTTTGGAGGACGACAATGAAAAATTCATAAATCTGAAAGGTTCAACTTCTCTGATCATGACTTCTGTACTACCAACAGACGCCGGCTATTACACCTGCAAGATGCCATTTCCTTTTGAAGGTGTAATGTATGAAATCACCAGAACAATTCAGCTGGACACTGTTGGTAAGTACAGACCCCTCAAAGCGTTACAGAACTGAAAAAACAACACTTCTTTGTGAATGAAACTGAAAAGGTCAAACTCACATTCAGTGTCTCGCCGCTGCCAAGAGAAGGGAGATGCCAGAGGTGCTCGCTTTGGCACTGCTGAGTTTCCCACAGCACCGCTGCGGGGCTGGGATCCCCTCCTTCGCAGCAGGCTTGCAGGAGGCAGAACTCGATGTTTGCAAACGCCTGTGCTTCCTAAACTGAATGTTTTGTGTCTTGGTGGGAGGGGTGGACGTCATTGCAAACGACTTCAGAGCGTTTAGGAAAATAAAACATTTAATACTGTCTCAGGATGGGAGGAAGGGGAAACCCGCTATTTCGCAAACGA